TATATATATATATATATATATATATATATATATATATATATATAATTTTTTTTAAATGGCCCCCTATAATGGCTGCTGAGGCACAGGAAATTTATGAAACTCTCACTGTCTTGGCCTCTAGAAATTTTTAGGTAATAATTGTAACTTACACCATTATGGTCTTATAGCCTTGGCCCCTATTTAACCGTAAAGTTACAGTTCCCAGTTATACAACTTACAGAAATCAGATTAATGAATGACTGGCCATATTAAATAAAAAAGGTGAATGGTTCTGTCCCCAATCTATATTGAATTTTGAATTCACACAATCCTGGCCTATCGTATCCACCTCAACAAACAATATATGGTGTATGGGAAAAGGACTTTTTATTGGGAAGGGTTAGAAAATTCTTTTGTCATACTGATTTCTATTGTAATGACACCAGATTTATAGTAAATGCTTTGGAAATATGGTGTAAGACTAAAATCATAGACAAATTAACTTTGCCTGAGGTTAATAAAACCCATGAAAATACTGATACTGAAAATCTAATGTATTGGGAAATTGAACTTAATTCTCCCCATGGAGTCATTTCTATGGAAACTAATTAATTGGCCAAAAGAAAAAATTGAACTTCTAGATCATAAAATAATTGTCTTCATTCATCTTGCCAAACTTATCATAATGTACAAATAACAGTAAAATGAGGGAGGAAAACATATTAACTTAATAATAAAAAATTATGATAATACATGTAAAGCGTTCTTTTGATGGCTAGGATGTTTGCTCTCCTCAAACTCATACTTGTCTAATATTGGACATTTTCTGCTCCTAATTGGTATTACTGGTTTAGTACTATTGTTCTTGATCCTAGTACTATTGTCCTTGTACCTAGTGTCATACTAGGTACAAAAAACAAAACAAAACATAAGGCTGACAGAAAAAACAAAACAAAATAAAACTTGGATCATGATAGCTCAAAGATTAGAAATGATCCAGAATATATTTAATAAAGACGTATAGGATCTGACTGCCTCCCATTTGCTCATATTTTCTTTTAAATATAAATAAATAATTTGATCTCGACTGCCATGCCATCTAAGGTTATAGTCTTGTCCCAACCCCATTGGTCCAACATTCAGCGAGACATACGCTGACACTATGACTTCTAGGAATGAGCCTTCCTAGCACCATGGGACCACACTATCCAACCAAAAGGTTGGTCATCAGTGCATCCTTCGGGTTGATTTATGACCAAAAGGAGGAAGTGTGGATGGAAAAGGAGCCATAGGTTAAACCTGACAAGCTCAAGAGTCTGAAAATAACCACAGAGGATGGTGTGAACATAAAAATTCCTAACTAAGGAGGGCCAGGGAGGGAAGTCACATCTCTTGAGCTTTCTCATTAAGTTAATCTGTGCCTTTTCAGTGGACCTGTTCTTTGATTTTTTGTACCTAAGATGACATCTTTTTTTGTGACCAGAGCTGGAAACTGCGAAATTCCTCATTATCATGCTTATCTCCTGATTACCACCTCTATGTGCTGTAAAGAGCGAACTGTTAGCTATCCCGCACCCACCTGTGTGGGAGGAGTACCTGTCTCTCCAATGTACTTTTATCCAATCCCAAAGATTTCCCCACTTTGCTTTCTCCCACCCCCTTAATCTATCACCAGTGGATTTCATGTAACCTTCCTCCTATGATTTTATGTATAAAATAAACTGCAAACTGCCATTTTGCAGTTTGAGGAGCATTTCCTCAATCCATTGAGATTTTGCTTCCTGGCAATTGTAGATAGTTTGGCTCAAATAAACTCATAAGTTTTCTCTTAGGCTGGATATTTTTCGTCAACAGTGGCATACCTTTCAGTAGGAGAAAAGCATTTTTAAGCGTCAAACTTAAGGCAAGTTCTTGGAGAAAAGAGAATTATTCAGGAGAAAGGCAGCTAGATGCTCTATAAAATCATGTTACCCATTATATCATAAATTAGGGTGGGCAGGAAAGTATCACTGAATCTCATCATGGATGTAACTTAGGGACACCATAGAGTCCCTTGCACCCTTGCTCGTGTATTGGTCTCACTCTCCATACTGTAAGCGGCTCCTAAATAGGACCAAGGTTTTGCATTTTTTTTTTTCTATCTCCAGTGCTTACCCCAATGCTGGGCATTGCACAATTACTCCATATATGTGACTGAATGGAATGGTTCCCCTGGCCCTGTTTATACACCAAGGCTGGCTAGAGAAGGAAGACAATCCTTGAGTCTTTCATGAGTAACTCCTCTCAGTGTTCCAGAATCCTGAATATTTGGAGAAGATTTTCATTTTGTTAAAAAAATAAAAAGATTTCTCTTCTTCAGTAAGTGTTCATTTTGATTGTGCTTGTAGTGGGCTAGAAGTGGACCAGAAGGCAAGCACATTGTGACCTCTTTCTAGAAGGCAGAGCTTCCCAGGGACACTGGCAGGCTCAGGGTTGCTATCATGGTTTACATGTGTTTTCTGAGATATGGATGGTTGTAAGTTTCTTATAGTGGTAAAATATATAAAACCAGGTTGGACAATTATTTAGGCATTTTCACTTCTATGTGAACATAGATTGTATGGCTTTGTCTCTACACTGCCTGACTTTTGTAATAACTATTTGGATATCTGAAATTCTATGAAGAGTCTTCCTCATCAGTATCCTGGGGAGTTACATATAATTCACTTCCCCCTGATTTTCCTGTTAAAACATCCTGATATTAGTTCAATGATTATTTGGTCATGGTTGGTTTATCATCAGTGTTGTTCTTTGCTTTGTCTGTACTATAATCATTAAATTTTTTTCTGATTGAATTTGCTCCTATATTTTATACATATTTTTCATAACATAGGAGGCATGTGTGATTATAATCTTTACATTTTTAAGTCAGATATTAGGTGTTCCTGAATAGAAAATGATTTATTTTACTGGAATATTTTAATTAATAAAATCTAATAAATTTTATTACTAATTCTCAAATAGAATCTCCCAAATTGTTTTTAACATATCCTGGTTATGCAATTGTTATCATTTCTTGTGTGTAATGGCATGAAAAAGGTAAGGCAACAGCTGCTATAAATTATGAGGTGTCAAAAAAAATATGGTGAGTGTTTAAATTAAAAAAAATGTATTACAACAAAAGACAAATTGCCATTAATCCCCCTCAAAATACTTCTCCTTGCTTCAAACACACTTATCCCATCATTCTTGCCACTTTCTGAAGCAGTTCTGGAAGTTCTCTTGCATGTCTTTAGTTGTGCTATGCTCAATCAATTCAAAACGTTTACCTTTCATGGTCATTTTGACTTTGGGGAAGAGCCAGAGGTCACTTGGAGCCAAAAGTCACATGGTCCCAGATCCAGTGAATAAGGTGGATGAGGACACACCATAATGCGTTTTTCTGACAGAAATTGCCGTATACCAGAAACATGTGTGACATGGAGCATTGTCATGATGGAGGATGATTTATGGCACACTTTAAAACACACCTTCTCTCAACCGTAGCTCACACCTGACTGAGTGCACTGAATCAGTTGAAACTTGTCACACGCTGTTATTAAGGTTCGACACACTGCTTCCCATATTGAAGATCCCTGCCTTTCCATCGGATGGCACTCGGCAGCAGCATTCATAGTATTTTGTGATCACAATGGAAAGGCTCCATGTCACACATCGCTTCTGGTACGGCAATTTCTGTCAAATCCTCATCCACCTTATTCCCCAGATCTGGCACTTTGCTACTTCTGGCTCCTTCCCAAAGTCGAAATGACCATGAAAGGTAAATGTTTGGAATCAATTCAGGACATCGAGGCAGCCACAACAGCGCAACTAAAGACACTCATGAAAGAGGACTTCCAGAACTGCTTCAGAAAATAGCAAGAATGATGGGATAAGTGTGTTCAAAGAAAGGGGGAGTATTTTGAGGGGGAGTAATGGTAATGTGTTTTTTACTGTTATAATTTTTTTGGGAAATTTAAACATTCACCATATTTTTTTATCACATCTTGTATGCTTGCTGCAATTTTTTACCGTGGGAGATAGATCGCAAGTGGAAAGAATGTTAATATTGGGGAAAGGGATGTATGAAAGGAATCTAAAGTTTTCCATTTTCATTTTTTAAGTTCCGTTTGCTAAAATAGTAAAATAAAGAAGGCAAGTTGAACTTAAAGATACTTCACAATGGTGGTCACTGTCTGATGGGATTGGATGTGTTTCTGCAGATTCATACCTTGCCAGCTGGATCTCTCTTGCCTCTTCCAGGGGAGACTGGGTTGAAAGAGTCAGCAGAAACAGAAAAGGTAAGTGTCACTACATCTAGTCTGCCATATTTTGAAATTAAACAAGGATTTGACAGATTTCAAAGTGTCATAGTCATGCAATTCATTCAATAACATTTAAATGAAAAGTAAGTGACAACCCTCCTATTTAAAAATAATTGAGCAAGTGTTCCTATATTGAACTGAAACATTTAAACTTCATTTCTATTTAATAAATACACCCTGTACAGGAGAAAGGCCTGAAGCTGACCTTAGATTAGTCTTCCAACATTCTCAAAGTGTGGACTAGGAGTGCCACCCTTTTTTCTGGAGGGCCATGGGGAATGGTCACTGCTGAGAAAGTACACTTGCAGCCTCCACCCCTGAGCAGGAAGTAGGGAACATGGCATGAGTTCAGTAGTCTCAGGAGTAAAGTTGCCACACTTAGCAAATAAAAATATTGTATAACAACATATGTAATACTTGGGATATACTTATACTAAAAGTGACTTATGGTTTATCTGAAATTCAAATTTAATTGGATGTTCTGTTTTTATCTTGCAACCCTACTTAGGAGGGAGTTGGAAGGCAAAAAGTCTGGGAAAACATTAAGAAGCAGATTAAAAGGAGTCTACAAAGTAGTGAGTGAATATTTCTAGTAGGAGGATGGAGACACCAATATTATTTCCATGTCATGTACTTGGAATGAGACTTGCACAAGATTTCTAAGGATGTGCAGGGGCAAGGTGCTGGTCAGAGAGGGATTCAGGTGACATCAGTATTGATTCTTAAAGAAGACCAGAAATTACCCACAAAAGGAAGACAGTGAGGGTTGAGGAAGGACACCCCGTGCAGAACAAAGCATGTCCAAAGGCACGGAGGGGTGAAGCTGTTAGACAAGACAAGGGTCTTAAGGTCTAGGCTGTTATTACTAAATGCTATTCTTGCTAAATGTTAAAATGTAGCACAGTATTTTGCAGAGGCAGCTGTAAATGGGATGAGCTTGACAGGAACCCAGCCAGATAAGTGTAGCCAACCGCAAAGATGAAATCAACATGTAATTAAACAAAGAGTATGCATAAGCAATAGCTAAGCCTCCCTTCTTGGTGACAGAGCTTTGGATGTGAACCTCCTGTCTCTTTTACTTGCTGCAAGTAAATAAAACCACCTAACGACAACCACAACCATATCTCGTTCATGAATGGAACACCCCAATGGGGGAACCCCTTGAGTTTGGTAACAAAACAGCACCGATATCTGCCTCCACGAAGTCTTTCTGGTCCCACTTAGAGGGAGTTTATCCTTCCTCTCTCTGTGCTCTCAGGGCCCTTTGTTGAAGCCTGAATCACCTAACTCTTGCACTTTCTCTATTGAGACATCTGTGATGTGGGCCCCATGAGTTGGAAATGGTAGATTCCGGGACAGATCCAGGACTCATCTACTGTCCTAGCTGAGCAGATAACCCAGCAGTGAACCTAGTTGAGCGGACTTCGCTTTTTGTAGAAAATTGAGAACAAACACATAGAATGTTTCAAGAATTTTTTAAGCAATGCAAAATTTTGCGTATTTGTATGTATTTAAGTAAATACCAAGAATTGATTTCTATAACATCAGACCTTAACTATCTTGGATTGTTTCCCAGTAAGAGAAATAAAAACATGAAAGTAAACAAATTGGAAAAATAAGTACAATTCCTTGCGTTCTTTAAGATTTGTCCTCAAGCCAATCCATATTGCTTAAGTGAACAAAGTAAAGTCTCTATTGCATGTCTCAGCACTGACTGCTTTTGCAAGTGAGATTGTAGAGGAAAGAGGTTATCCTGTATCTTGAGTGAGATACTTTTATCCCTGTGCTTAGGATCCTCACCTGCTTAAAGTTCAACTTACGGCGCTGTGTCAATAAAAAGCTATCTGCTTTGGGGGGCATACGGAAACTGAGAAGCCACGGGTGTTTGGGGCAGAGGAATTTTCTTGCTCTTCTCTTTGCATAATGGTATGATTTAGAGGCAAGCTTTCCCAGGGATAAGAACATGGAGAAGGTGGCTTTGTCTGGTAGCTTTAGCATATAGATACATTTATTTAAAAAAAATATTTCTTTCAAGAATTTTACCGACCAAGAATAAGTGGGGTTTTTTGTTTGTTTGTTTGTTTTCTGTTATTGTTTTGTTTTGTTGGTGGTGGGGATAGGCTATTTGGGGAATTATACTGTGCTCATCAGCTGTCTAAGGGTAAGAGTGGTTTGAGCCTTTCAACTCTAAGAGTGTTTATCTTGCCCCTGAAGTTAATGTTGTGTGTTCATTTTCTCTTTCATTTCCTTTGCACATTTCCTAAAAGTACTTCATCCAGGAGTTTTATTCAGACCTCTGCAGATCTATCTTGGCTTTCCTTATCCGAGAGATGCTCATATCTTGCTCTGTGCTCCCTCCAAGCAATTTACCTTCTTTTGACACCATGCAGAGAGCCTGCTGCTTTCTCTGTTGCCTTTCTTGACCCGAGTGCCTCTCTTTGGGGGTGGAATTAGGCCCAGGCTTTCTTTCAGGCCCCACTGAGGCTTGGTTTCTGCTCTCTTGCGCCACCTATTGTAACCAGCTCCAAATGCAGCTTTCCCGGTCTGGTCTCCAGCCCTTGGTTCCCAGCAGGAACCGGAGCCAAAACCTCTGAACAAGCAGATGTTATTTAGGCTGCCAGATTTCTTTCCCGCTCTTATCTGTGCTGCCGCCACTGGCTCACGAGATCAGAATCCCAAATGTCCCTAGATGACTTGCCTTGAGTCATGCAGACCCTGAGCTCCTTGGCCTGAAAGAGGAAATTTGCCAGCTTGGAGGTTGGTGACTAGCAGTTCCTGCCAGCTTCCTGAATGTGTGGTTAGTGGAGGCCAACTCTGACCAGCAGTGAAAATGCAAATGGTTTCTTTTGCAATGTCAACATACATATGGCACTTATCCTTAAATGGGCTCTACACAGTGTCCCCAACATTGGGCCACTCAGTTTTCTCCCAAGTTGCTCAGGAATTGAAAACTATGTTGTTGATGGTTTTGTGTGTTTGTTTGTTTATTTATTTTTTCCACTCAGGACTTTGCTACATTCTCACTATATTTGGTGATTCTAATGGAGGGACCACAAAGGAAGTGGAGTGCTGCTTTTTCTTAAATTAAGTCTCCCTGTTATTTCCTATTCTGGGTGAAAGATCTCCTTGATGACAGGGACTTATGCATTTGTTTATTCTCCATCACATACAGCCTAGCACACAGTAGGCACTTCACAAAAGCTTGTTGAAATGCACAGAATCCTTCTTGAGAGTCCTTTTCTATCTATCTGTGAAAAGTAAAAACTATCAGATCTGAGGTTTGGATTATTCATTCCTGATTTAAGCCCCCCAAATAAGGCTGACTTGGTAGAAATAAATGAGTGATAGTAGTGATTTCTACTGTTAAGAAGTAGGATAGTAGCCAGCTGTTGTCTCCTGAGGTTAGAAAAAGGAGCAATGTACATATGCAGGAGAGGGTTAGATATGAGATAGAACTTCTTGAGAGCAAAGGTTACTCTTATAAAATACACGGGGATTTATGCCAGCAATAGTTCAATAAACATGTATTAAGCTACTACATTGTACCAACACTATGCTAAAGTTGGAGTTAAAAAGATTAATAAAGTACAGTGCCTGACCTCATAGAAGCCTGAAACAAATAAACAATTTCAATGTCATTTCCTAAGTGATAAGAGAGAGACGTGTCATTGGTATTGTGGGAGCATGATAAAGGGGCACTAATTCAAGCTGTGTAATCAAGGAAGGCTTCTTGGAGGATGTGGTGCTTGTACTGAGTTTTACCATTGTGTGAGATATATTTACACGTCAATAAACAGATGCAGTCATGCATTCAAGGAAAGGTGGACAGTTAGATTAACTGATGTAGAAACATTGAAACCATAAAAAAATCCTTTCAGTCTTTCTGAGTTGAGTTATCTGGGACATGCTTCTGTCCCATAGGAAATATTTTACAATCCAGGTGGCCAAGGGAGGCTCAGTTTTCTGTTCCCTGTTTGATTTGTCACCTTATTGGGACAGACTTTTGTAGACTTAGGAGTGGAAAGGTAAAAGAGGGAAATTTATTTTCCTCTGCATCCAAGGGGCATGGTCCTTTAAGCAACCTCTCTTCTCCAGCTGCAGAGCTGGCACATCCTTAATGCATTAGAGCCGAGCTATTTGGGGGCTGCCCGCAGGGTCATGCTGACTGGAGTCTTAGGCAAGGCCATCTTCATGTGATACTGGAGGCCACACAGAGGAAGGCTAGGTCTCGGGCCTGCCTGCTGGCTCAGAGGAAATAGACTGTTACCTAGGAAATCTTGACAGCAGCTACTCTTTGAATTCCAACAGATTGCTTTACCAGGCCCCATTGTACAGATGAGAAAACCAAGGCTGAAAATTGTGGCGCTACTTCCTAGTTCTGGAGAACAATGGATTGACTACTATGTACTACTTTAGCTTGTTATTTCTTACTTCAGTGCTGTAGCTAGTGCCCCCACCCCTGGAGTGGGAACCTCTGAGAGGAATTTTTCACAGAAAGAAGTGCTTTTGAAATGGCATGCCAGTTAGTAATGGCCTGTTTCTACTGGATACCCTGATTGTTGGGCTGGCATCATGAGAATGGGGGTTTCCAGCCTCCTTCAGGGAGGTCATTCAATCCCAGCCATGGCAGCTGGTGTCCTCCATGCCCTGGACCACCATCAGAGAAAGGAATCTGAGGGGAAACAAAGAATGCTGCTGTGGCTGCAGACCTGAGCCCTCCACACCCGCTCGCCCGAGGCGGGCCCCAGTGGGGCTGGTGCCAGGCGCTGTACCGCTTCCTCACCCCTTTCCTGGGCCCCTCCACTCATCTGCTTGCTTTCAGAACCCCAGCCATCCTCAATGGGTCTTTGTGTGCACCCCAGGAGCTGGCCCGGAAGAGCCTTGATCGAAATGCTGGACAGAGATGTCTCCTCTGGATCTTGGCGCTGCTCCGGTTGCTGCCCATCTTGTGAGGAGCAGGCCTTTATTGTGCCGCC